GTAGTCACAGTTTCTAATTACTTTACCAGTCCTGCTGTGATTACCAGCTCTGCAGATAAGAGCTATTTAGAGCACTTCCCATCTTTAGATCTCTAAAATACTGCGGTAAGATTATCATATCTCTCTCTGCTTCATGAACATTGAAAGATCTCTTTTTAGGTCCATCACAGCCACTGAATTCCCCTAGATCCTACAAACATAGCCAACGGAGAAGAAGATCACAGCGTTTAGCCACTTGCTCGTTGCCTGATGATTCTGTAGAAAAAGTTTCTTCTCCCTCTCCAGTTACTGATGGAAAAGTGTTCTCCATCAGTGCTCAAAATCAACAGTCATCAAAATTGGAGGGTAATGTATCTTAATCTAATAAAGAACTGCCCAAGAGAAATTGAATCATAAAAATGAGATCTTTTGTGGTTTTCATCTAATGGGACATTTTGATTTACTGTAGCTAAAGCTGAATGCTGTTCCCTTGTTATGTAACACTGCAAGCCAAGATGTTATTTGTTGGGCCTTTGTATCTTTTTTTAATATGACATTCTTTCTTTTATGTAGTACCTGATGTTGCTCATATGTCACTTGAGAAGCGTGGACCCTGTCTCCCTCTTGATTTAAGCCGTAGTTCGGAAGTCACAGCACCACTGTCCACAGAATCCACTTTCCGTAATGAGTATCCCAGTAAAGACAAGGAAGATATTCAGATGATTACATATCTTTCTTCCAAAGCAGTAACTGATGGAAGAATAGCTACAACAGCGTCAGGTAAAGAGATCCAGCGTACAATCAGTTAGGCTTACAGTTGTAGGATTAAAACATGCATGTAGTCAGTCGCATGAAAAGGGGAGATAAGCTTTTTGCTTTCTGCAGGCTTGCAAACCTACATCTCTTCAAGTGGTCCATCCATCTGGATATTCTTTGCCTTCTGCTAGCTTCAAGCTGTATTAGCACTTTCTCTAACATGCCTTAAGACAGAATTGATCTAATCATACAGAGAGAGTGTGGAATGTAAGATGCAGTATTGCCTTCAAAAATATTTTCTGTTGTTAAAACTTGTTAAAGAAAAAAAATTGTTAAAAAAAAATCATAGCTGTTTACTAACATACTAAGTCTAGACATACTCATTTATCTTGTAGCTTTAGCTTTAAATTTAGTAGAGTTTTCAGAGGCAGTCAGCATTCTTTCACCCTTCTGTTTGCAGTACAAATTTTGTCATTTTCCTGCTAGGAAATGTTATTTGAAAATACTGCTGAAATCCTCTGAATTTTATATGGATTTGGTTCACCCTCATCGTGCAAGCGTAGAGCCCAGTACGGGAATTTGGGGCTATATCTATCTCACTTCTTAATAGTTTTCTAGCTTCTGTCATTTAAGTGAATCACTTGGATAGAAACAATTAGATTCAGAGAAGAGGTCGTGTTATGATTTGCAGACCCTAAAAAAAAAATTCTTTTTAGTCTAGCATATGCTAGATGTCCATATGCCCTTTTATTTTTCGTAAATAAGGCTCCTATATGTGTATCATACCATTTTTTAAAAATTGACTTTAATAGGAAAATGATTCAATAAAGTAGGAGAAGAACAGTGAAATTATTAATTATACAGTTATTGGGAAGCTTTTTGATAAATGCGTTTTATAACAAGGGTCAGGTACTGTTACCATAAAGTATGTAATTCTGCCATTCTGAAAATAGAACTTAGACCTATTCAGAAGAAAAATGTGATTGAGTTTGCACCGAGCTGCCTGTGTAGTTGCAGTATTCTAGGTCAGTGAAAGATTTGTGCAGTGTGTGTGTGGCTGCCTTGCGTGTCTGCCCGCACACACTCACATTGGCTCTGTGTAAGCAGTGATTGATTGCTTTACTGAGTTCCAGCATTGCTACTCCAATGTGGTGCAGAAAAGACTAAGTACGATTTTGGGATCGATATCGTGTAGGTTAAATGAGATGATTTTAAACATCCCTTGTGTCCCTCTCTTTCTCTCTTCCCCTCTCTCTTTCTCTCTCTCTCCCTCAAAAGAAAAAAAAAAAAAAAAACACGTATATATTAATCTCTTAAAATAATTTGTCAAAATGAAGGCTATAGAGATTTATAATAACTTATGTAAGCTTTTAAAAATACTACGTAATTTCTCAAGTCAAACCATGTGACAATCTCAGCTTACTTCTGATATGTTGTATAGTAATAGAATCATGGATTACTGGAAAAGTTAGTTATGTAAATGTCTTTTTATTTCATGTCTTTGGCCAGTAGAATTGATTTGAGGAGGTGTATAATTGGCCACTCAGAGAACAGTATCATAATGGAAATCAACAACTTCTAGTTGCTGTCTTTTATTTTCATTTATTCGAACTCGTTTTGGTTAACAGGGATTTAACTTTTTTTTTTCTAGCATGTTTGGAGGATCATTTAAAATGTCACTGGTAATAGTGACGGGCGTTTTCTTTGTTGCCTGCTTCTATAATGGGACTGGCTTGACATTGAGTAAACTCTTTCTTCTGCATCCGTAACTATCCTTGCACTTCTTGATTCATCCAGTCCTGGCTACAGCTGTGTCTATGAAGAGAAATAACATTTTATTTGTGATTCAAAAACTTTTGATACGTCCAGACTATTCTGGATTTTGTTTTACTTTTTAAAATCTGAAGTACATTAAATCCATGTCCTTTTATTGGTGTTTCTACTGTCAGATTTTACTGAGGTCATCTGGACTGACTTAGTGATCTAGACTTCAGTGATAGTGTGGATATAGTTAGCTAAGTATGTTTAAGTTGAATATGCTTTCTTTTGTAATCAATGAAGCAACTAACTATAGTTTCAGAAATTACGGAGGTAAGTATTTAGGCTGAAATAACCTATTATGATCACTCACCCTTCTGAGGTACTTCTGAGGTTAAGAGATACTTTATATTAGACCTAGAGATGTAGGTTGTGATTTCAGAAGTTTAGAGTTCTGATGAGGCCACCTGTTGAGCAAATTGAAAAAATAAATTTGCCTCATCAAAAATCCTGCATTTTAATCACTTTTCTATTTAAAAAATACTAAACGGTATCCTTCAAAGACAAGGAATGAGGTGTGCTGAAGTACTGAAGCATAAATGGAAACTGTTAGTATTATCACAGATCATTCACTAAATCACTGCACAAAATGGACCTCTTGTTGTTCTATAAAGGCAACACAAAAGCACTGTGATCAGTTCCTTCTCTGTAGTCTACTTGGAAATTCTGCGTACTTCAGTAGACACTGGTATGCTTCTGTTTAATTGTTGAAATGAGTACTGCATTGACTGTGGTGTTATGCACTGAGTAAATAACATTTGAGCAAGCAGTCTGGAGTTTAAATTTCAAAGGAAAATATTGCTTGCAAGTAAACTAATATTACTAGTAGTTCATGTAAAACCGTGAATTATGGTGATTGAACCCTGAATTATACTGATTGTTACACTCAAATGTTTATATTTTTGTTGCTAGGAAAGTTGAAACATCAAAAGCTCTGGAAAAGAATGTCGTGCAACAAAATAAATAATTTGAACATCATATAATTTGATTTGCTGAACTGACAAAAGCAGTGCCACAAAGTGATAAATGTGTTTGTAGCACAGCATTCTGCCTGTTCTCATGCTAGTGAGGTTTCTGCCACCTGAACCATGCTAGCTCTGGAAAAGCAGTACTAGAGACATGCTGGAAGGGAAACTGTAAATATCCATGATTTGCATTTGTTTTTAATGTGAACTGAGTCTGTTTTTGTGCTAGAAACACAAAATAGATTTTGTGGTAATGGAACAATGACATAATCATCAGTTTGGCAAATCCAATCTTGAAATATCTTTCTCTGCTTTTAATTGCAGACTTCTCACATTCACTGTGTGGGAGGTGGTTGGGTAGATTCCTGAGTAGGAATAAAATGGGAATTTAAAAAAACAACATTAGTATTGTAACATCTCCATAATGGGCATATTTTTAAAATGCATATTTGCCCTTTTGCTTTTTTTACTTGCCCTTCAGACTGTGATTGTCATCTTTGTCTAATTTTGTAGTTATTTGTAAGGTGTAATAATTACACAGTTGAAAACTGATTTCTAAACCTTAATTTTTCACTTAAGATTTGAGAATTATGGATTTTTGATCTATAATGTTCTGATTCTGTACTATTACAGTAGGTATAGGTTGAGCTATGTTAGTATAAGTAAAAAACGAGAGTATTAGTTTGTATGAATAGTGACAAGAATATAGCAGTATGTGCAGGCATAACAGTAATTTCTCTTCTTGGGTAGCTATACCAAGGCAGTTTAGAGAGCTCTGTCATTGAGACGGGTGTTTGTGTGCCCATAGCAGTTCTCTGCCTGCAGTAAATATTCCCTCAAACAGTTACCTAATTACTACTTGCCTACTTTTATCAGACATTCTTGTCCTGAATTTTGAGATACTAAAATTTGTGTTGTGATTAGCAAACTTGGAATGTGTCTGACTGCTTCAGATCAGGGTTTCTTTTGAACAATGAAAGTGAAATACTAAATTCTTCTAAATGTACAGACTGGAACTGAATTATTCTAGTCATTGTTTAAAGAGAGAATAAGTGAAATTTTCATCAAAATAGCAAACCAAATTAGGTGTGTTTGGGTGATTCTTTTATGTTCTCTTTAGAAACGAGACAAGACAGCATCAAGATATGGAGAAGAGCCACTGTTTTACTGAGGTGCTAAAATATATTCACTGGGTGGCAGGTGGCGAAACAGGTTGTTCTTTAACAGAGACAAATGTTAACGAGGAAACCAAAGAAAGGAATACTTGATACAGTGTTTCATGTTGATAAGTATCCCAAGCTAATTCTCCTTGAAATAGAGGAAAGCAAAGCTTAGATGGTTCACCAGAGTCAATAGGATTAGCTTCTTATGTGTGATGTTTGACTCAAGCTTCTGGAAAGGCTCAAGAATGCACAGCTCATGAATTAGAAGGTCTCATGCAATTGAGCAGTTGCATTTGACTGCTTGCTTGATTGTGTAGTATTGTGAAGTCTTGTATTGTAGAGCTGGGGACATTTGGCATTTGAGAATGCTGCGTGGTGTGATAAATGAAGCAGCTCCTGCAGCTTTCTCACATTAGCTTTTTTTACTGCTTTCCAGAGAAGGTTGCGTAGGAGCTGGAGTGAGTTTCATGTAAAATGTGCATTGCATCATAATAGAATTGGGTTGATCTGTCCAAGCCTGGAAAGCAGCCCAATAGAGCCACCAACAAGCTGTTAGTGCCTTTCCCCCAGAGTTACAACTGATGAATTTACTAAGTTATTTTAACATTGCCTATTCCAAATCAGCTTTGTGTTTTTCCCTATCTTGACTTCTAGCAAATCTCCTTCAGGCTTTTTATTTTTTATTGCGAAGGGAGCTGATGAAGATTAGGCTTTCATAATTATGGTTGAACAGCTTCCACAATAGCAGTGAACACAGGAACATAGAGCTTATAACAATATCAGTAATTTTCTTTACCAGTACTTCTTTCTGTTTTTATTTGAGAATTACATTGTCCTGTTGGAGTATAAATACCAGCAATAAAATTGTAATTTTAGGTATTAATTATGCTAAGTTATTTCCTCATTTATATCAATTAAAGGTAGAGAAATTTCTAAGTGTAGCAAGCTTTACTGAATAGTGCAAAATAATTGTTGGTAAATGTTCGATCTCTGTGACAAATTATTACAGTAGCTTGCATGTAATTCAAATATGGATCAAATACATAGAATCAATGAAAACGCAGTAAACTGAAATATAAACACATAGCACTGAGAATTATGTATGAGAACTGTTCTCTGTTCACATACTGGAATGAGATAACTTGAATGATGTTAACAGTATCAGCACTTCTGCTGTTGGCATTGATTTCCATTACAGTGGAATGAAAAGGAAACAAAAAGGCTTAAAGTAGAAGCAAAAATAGGCTTTAAGCAGAAACATAATTTAGAAATGAATGCAAATTCCAAAACAGACAAGAAACTTGTGGCATGTATTGTTTTGTATGTAAAACTAAGATCTAGGCATTCATGTGCAGTAATTATATATGAAGTGTGATAATGTTGTTACCACTATGTGATGTTTCAGTGATCTTACTCAGCCAGTGATCTGGCTGCACCTCTTACTGAATGCCTAGTAAATCTGTCTTCTTGTTTTCAGCACCCTCGCCTCATGTACATGCCTTACATCTGGAATTGCCTTTAACCAATAGTCTAAAGTTACCAAAAGGGAGTAGTAAAAAAAAGAGGTCTTCCACATCAGTGAGCTCTGAAGGGACAGAGGTACAGTACTCTGTGCCCATAAAGGAGAAATGTTTTGAGAGTCTGAAGGAGAAAATATTAAAGAACGTGATTGAGAAGGACAAGCATTCAGAAGTTGGTAAACTACAATGCTTTTTGTTTCCAGTGCTTTAGAGAATAAAATTAACTGTAAATTGACATTAAAATCATCATTTTATTGCTTGTATGTATTATGTTATATACCAATAGACATTTTTGCATTCTAATGGTTTTTACAAGAAAGTGGGGTCATTAGTCAGACATTACACTTAAATCTCACATTCTTAAATTTTCAGGAGCAGTGAGAGTGGAAAGAAAAGGAAAACTGGAAGAGAAGAGTTCCACAACATATGGTATGTAGAGCAATGATATTTTTAGGAAAAAGTTAAAAGCCTCTTAACATTTACTTGATGCCTCTAAAGCACAGATATAGGAGTGTAAAATATCTCCAGAGTTCAGCTGTATTTCCTTAGTTCGGGATCTTAAAAACTTTTAACGTATATGGCAAATTGATAGTAAAGGAATAACTGTGTAAGAAAAGTAATGTTCTCAGAAGAAGGATTTGTGTAGTGCCTGTGAGGGGCCGAAGCCAAAGGTGGGTGTTTTTGGTTGTTGGATTGTTGTGGTGGGTTTTTTGGTTGTTTTTTCCAGTTCAATTAGTGATCACAGAATCACAGGATTGTAGGGACTGGAAAGGACCTCTAGAGATCATCGAGTCCAACCTCCCCTGAAAAGCAGGCTTCCTAGACAAGGTTTCACAGGTGGGTTTTGAGTACCACCAGAGAAGGATAATCCACAACCTCCGTGGGCAGCCTGTTCCAGAGCTCTGACACTTTCACCGTGAAGAAGCTCTTACGTGCATTTGTATGGAATTTCTTATGCTCCAGTATGTGGCTGTTTCCCCTTGCCCTGTTGCCACACACTGCTAAAAAGTCTGGCCTAATTCCTTTGCCTCCCACAGTGGGTCAGATCCCCTCTGTCATCCTTTCTTAAATAGACCCTAAATAGACTAAATAAACACTAAATAGACCCAGGTCACTCAGCCTTTCCTCGTAAGAGAGCTTCTCCAGGCCCTTTATCATCTTAATGGCCCTCCACTATACTCTTTCCAGGATACTACAGTGGTACTGCATTTATTTTGATGTGGTGGCCTATGAGAACAAGAGGAGAAAAAGGATAAGTTTGTGTTAGTAACAAAACATTTGGTAATTTGTGAAGTAAGAGGCCTATGGTTTTCCCCAGCGTAAATATTACAGTTAAAGATGGAATGAGAATTCATATATGAATTGGCCTGTTTTTTTCCGTGAGGGAAGAGTTATGCTTCTGAACAGCACAAGAAGATACTAAGATTCAGTATGTATTTATATACAAGAAATAATCCTTGAACACTGGCATTAATGATTTCCTTTCTGTAACAATTCAGTTTCCTTAGCTTGCTGTTGATTACTTAGAAAATGACCATGGAGTGACTGTGCTGTGAGATATATTTTGTCTGGGAGAACTAATAAATAGAATTTCTCTAAGCTAAAGTGCTTGTTCTTGTGCATATATCAACAGTGCTGCTTATAAGTGAACTGTGAAGCAAGAGATGCACCGTAAATTTTAGTCAGAATCATTTTTTATGAAGATATTGCTTGAAAGTGCTGACAGCATGAGCAGTCTTGTGACAAAGAAATTTCCTTTAAAGCCTTTAAACTTTCTGTAAGTGTGAAATGTGTTATTATCACATCTTTGTGTTTGGGATTTTGCGCTATTGAAGGCTTTTTTCTAATAAACCACAAGTTAAATAGCCGTTAGGAACTACTTAATTAACATTGCTTACCCCACCGGAATAGTTTGAAATTAAAATGTTGAGCTAAAAAAAAATAAGCAGTTTAGAGTGATATTGTTTTAAAATGATCAAGTTTTCTTTCAGGTAAAAAGAAAGAAAAGGAAAAGGAGAAAAAAGAGAGAAAAGAAAAAGATCATAAATCAAAACAGAAAAAGAAGAAGAAAAAGAAGAAGAAATCTAAACAGCATGGTAAGATAAATGCAATTTTTGAAAGTGAGCCAAACCATTTGGTGCTTTTCTGACATTAGATATTAAAATTTGTTTCCCAACAATGTAAATACAAAAATTAGAAATTTCAGAGAACAGCTTGTGGCCTTAATGTTATAACTAAACTTGGGTCTGTGACCTTTGTGCCTATTTATAAGCTTGTCTCTACATGGTAGATAGAGGTATTTCATAAACCTTTTCTGTCAAAGTATTATAAACAGGTAATAATGGTTTTACTTCTTGTCTCTTTAGACTTGTCATTTTAAGCTCTTCAAATGTATCTACCTCTTATGTTGTTTGGACATTACAATAATTCTACTGTTTAATCTGTTGCTAAATTTCAGAGGTTTGTTGTATGAGATGGGGCCCTTTGGTGCCCTGGGAGAGACTCAAACAAGGTGTGTTCTCCTGCCATTGAGTTCTTGGGAATGAGCCGCTGGGGGGCGGAGTTCCTGTGAGGGTCCAGCAGAGCCCTGCAGTTGTTTTTGTACTTCTTTGTGGGTGTGTAGGTGTGCATTTATTGCTTAACTTGTCGGGATAATCTGCAATTACTTCTAGAAAGCGTTGTTGAAATGCTGCAGATAGATCTAAGGAAAAGAGATCTACCAGTAGGATCTCTAAGGATAACAGATGATAAAGGATGAACTCAGGACAAAAAGAAGATACTGTGCGAGTTCTTTCTTACCCATACAGATAAAATGTTGTATGAAAAAGTATTCCTCTATACGTTCTGAGGCTGATAGATATGGGGGGGAGTATTAAATGTGTTGTTTTTTAATACTTAGCTACTGAACTTCGTTGTGTCTCATATTGGAAATTTCTGGAAAAATTGTAACAATGGGTATTTGCTACTTCATGTTCACAGCTTCATCGTTCCTTAAATCTCAATGTCAGTGTTTTTTATTTCTCCTATTAATTTTTTTCGAACACTTTTTTGAGACTTCTCACAAATTTTACTTACTGTAACATTAACTTAATCTTGTTAACTTTGCAGATTATTCAGATTATGAAGATAGTTCCGTTGAATTCTTGGACAGGTGCTCTTCTCCATTGACGCGGTCCTCGGGAAGCTCTCTGACTTTGCGCAGCATGTTCTCAGAGAAGAATACATCATACCAGTATCCAAGAGCTATCTTGTCTGTTGACCTTAGTGGAGAAAGTAAGTTGACTGGCGCAGAAGTCTCAATTTGTAGGTTTAGTTGCTTAGGAAATATAATTTTAAAGAAAATGTTTCGTATAAATTCTTCATGTAGGTATGAGTTGTGACTGACTTCGAGTTAAGTAGTTGAAGCAGCCCTGCAAAGAAGGCCTTGGGGGTCCTGGTGGATGAGAAGCTGGACATGAACCAGAAGTGTGCTTGCAGCCTGGAAGGCCAACTGTGTTCTGGGCTGCATTAAAAAAGGGGTGGCCAGCAAGGAGAGGGAGGTGATTGTCCCCCTCTACTCGGCTCTTGTGAGGCCCCATCTGCAGTACTGCGTCCAGGCCTGGGGCGCACAGTACAGGAAGGACATGGAGCTCTTGGAATGGGTCCAGAGGAGGGGCACTAAGGTGATCAGAGGACTGGAGCACCTCTCCTATAAAGAAGGGTTGAGGGAACTGGGCTTGTTTAGCTTGGAAAAGAAAAGGCTTTGGGGAGACCTCATTGTGGCCTTCCAGTACTTGAAGGCAGCATATAAGCAGGAGGTAGAACGGCTGTTTATGAGGGTGGATAGTGATAGGACAAGGGGAAATGGTCTTAAACTGAGACAGGAGAGGTTTAGGTTAGATATTAGGAGGAAGTTTTTCACGTAGAGGGTGGTGACACACTGGAACAGGTTGCCAAGGAGGCTGTTGGTGCCCCATCCCTGGAGGCATTCAAGGCCAGGCTGGATGTGGCTCTGGGCAGCCTGGTCTGGTGGTTGGCAAACCTGACTGTGGCAGGGGGGTTTCAACTAGATGATCGTTGTGGTCCTTTTCAAACCAGGCCACTCTATGATTCTGTGAAGCATAAGTGTTTAGACTCCTCAAGCTTTCTACATTGAACTTGTGTATGACATTACATTAAAAGCATTTGAGGGGACCATCAAGAAATCTTAATGTACCAGCAGTGCATTTGAGTGTGATTTTTTTTTTTTTGACATGTGCAAGTTAAGACTTCCAAATGACAGAAAAATTGTTTTGTTTTGTTTTGTTTTTTTTTTTTCAAGTATTGAGTTTCTTTATACACAATCTCATGACTTTTTACTAGACCTTTCAGATATGGAGTTCCTGGATGATTCCTCTACAGAGAGTTTGTTGCTCAGTGGTGATGAATACAATCAGGATTTTGATTCAACTAACTTTGAAGAGTCTCAGGATGAAGATGATGCTCTCAATGAAATTGTTAGATGCATTTGTGAACTGGATGAAGAAAATGGCTTTATGATTCAGGTAAAGGAATTAGGGGGGGTGTACTTTCCACATAAATTTTGTGCTTTTGAAGATTCTCTTCTAAGGTGTTGGAGACTGAATTTACATTGAGAGTTGTAAATAGAAGTGATCAGTAATAATAAAATATTTTATGCTTGATGTGATTCTCCAGCATATGCTGAGCACTTTCTCTTGGATGGGTTTCTTCTAACCATTTAATATACAGAACAGGTTTGTAAGGAAGAGTGAACTTTTTTTCTCATAGTTGGGGAAAAAATGCTTTTCCACACACAAATCATTCTCTCTGTCTGCAGACCATTGTAGTTATACCAGCATTTCTGGTTTAGTCCTTACTTTTGACAGTACCTGCTATAGACACCTCAAGTCTACTCCACTCACTAAATTCACTGCAGCTGTATACAAGATGAGTGACTCTCTGTGTAAGATCTCTTCCATACAGATGTTAATATCAGCATCTTTGTGTTGCAAAGTTTATGCTTCATTTTTAAAACAGTAATTCTCAAACAAGAAACTACTTGCTCATTTTAGAAACTACTAAAATTGTTAGCCTTAGTATAAAAATGTAACTATTGTTTAAAGAGTGTGTGATGTCTGTGTGGCATCCAGCCATTGACAGGTTGCAACTACTGCTTCGTATGCATTTGTATTGCAATGAAGGGTTGCTTTTTCCATATAGCAATGAATAATTCAAAGTCTTTGTGTCAAGGAATTTGTAATAGAGTGATTAGATCAGATGCAGTGAAAAGTGAGGAAGAACTCGGTTGTCAGTAGCTTTAAGAAGTTCATGAATTTCTTCTTTTTTTTTTTTTGCACTTAAATGAAAGGTATGTATTCCACTATCAATGTGGTATTGTTTCTATTGAAAAATACTTTATAATAAGCCTTTAATTGAGTTCTGAAGGAAGCAAGAATGGTTGTCCTGTTAATAGACTTGCAAGTGAGTCTTTGGAAATTAAAGGAAGTTCTGAAAAAGAAGTACACAGACTGTCCCTGGAAATGCATACTAAAATGCAGTGGTATGATGGAGGAATTGAGCAGCAGTTCAGCAGTGGTGATAACAACACAGGAAAAAATAGACCAGTGTAGAAGTTTTTGGAGAGAGGAGAGGAATTTGTAACCATAGTGGTATGACAAGAGGAAAGGTGTTTTGAACATGCTGATGCTCAACATACATGTCACCAGAGGAGTGAGTTTCAACAATGAAACAGCAGATATTTAGAAATCAAGCAAAACACTAACCTAAGAAAAGGAAATAGAAGTGGTAGTTTCCTGCCCACTTCTTATACCCAGTGACAGCCTAATGTTGACCACTTGTCTCCTTTCCATACTTTGTGTCATTGAGAGCAACCAGTTCACTGTTTCTAAGCCTTCATGTCTTACCACTTCTGTTTTGCTCTCCTATTCTCTTATTTCTCCTCTTTCATTTTCTCTTCATTTTCTTTTTCTTTTAGATTTTCCATTGGCGCGATATTAAAAACACATCTTTCTAGCGCACTGCAGAGATGCTTTGTAAATATAAATAATTAAACTGAAGAGTTTTCTACTTTTCACTGTTATGCTGTAATGTATTACATTATCTTTCTACTTTACTGTAATGTATTTTTCTGTCTTATGTTGCACTACTAAATGTCTAGGTGCTAACTGTTGAGTGTTGTAATAAAATACTATTAAATATTGCGTCTTCATTTTTTTTCTCCAGTTTGGAATTTGTGGGTGAGAAAACTAAAGCTACCTTTTAGCTTTATGTCTTTGCCTACCCAAACACAGATGACCCAAATATATATTATTATGCTCAAACATGCTGTTTAAGTTAAACTGTTGTTCATTGAATTTTGATGATACAAGTAATAGTTTCTGATTTTTAAATCTGCTTAGTTTTAGTTTTTGCTTTTGTGTTTGTTTTTTTTTATGTCAGTGCGAAGAATGCTTGTGTTGGCAGCACAGTGTATGCATGGGATTGTTGGAGGACAGCATTCCAGAGCAGTACATCTGTTATATCTGCAGAGATCCACCAGGTATGAGTAAACCACCTTTATCTGCAGTTGTCTGCTTGGGTTTTCTAAGCAGAAGTGTTATACCTCGCTTAAAATGTTAAAGCTTTGTCCGTTTTATGTTTGTTTCACTTATTTGAGGTTAGGTCTTCTAAGTCTTACTGTAGCAGAGATTTACTTTTCTTTCAGCAATGTCTTGTTAAACTTGGCTAAATCTTCCTCATGACTCGAGTTACCATAGCTTTGTTTTTTGAACTGAATTCTTTCAAACCTTTAGGTCTTCTTAATTTCATTGTACTCCGAAAAGACTTTGCAAATGAAACTTTCTTGTTCAAAAGTTTGCCTTGCTTATACTTGAAATTGGATCTATTTGTTTAAATATATTTTTTAGATAAAAGGACTCATTACCACAGTACACATATATATGCTATGGCTGTTGTTTAATATTAGGATTTTGTAATGTTTGTGTTTGCTTGGAATTGTGTAAATAAGTTGAATGTGTTATATATATGCAGAAGTCTGGCACTCATGTTAAACATTAGCATGCAAAATGCATCTTAAACTTTAAGTTTTTAATGTTTCTTCTAACAATTGTTACAAATGTCCTCTAGTGATTCATCCAACAGGGTATCTGAAGCCCATTTGCAGAAGTGTTAAATAACAGTTTTCATTAGCTCTTCTTGAGAAGAATATTTAGAAATCAGAGCTGGATGGATGTGATTTTTTTCCATTTGCCCAAAACTGATTGTCGGTTGATAATATAAAGTCATGTCTCGTAGTTCCTTATGTGGTGTACTCTGAGCAGTCAACCCTTTTCTTATAAATAACAACTAATTTGTCTTGTGTTCTTTCCCTGCGCTGTACTAGGTACTTCGTTATCCCCTGCTATACGGAGACTGTGTCCCTAAATTTTATCTTCTCTCCCTTCCTAACCATTACTTCTTTTCTTTCTATGTCAGGAGAAAAAGGTCATTCACAATGTCAGTATTTTAAAGTGTATTGGGATAATGGGCAGAAAGGAGATAGACAGGGTATTCTCCTGAAAGGTATGAAGGGCTTCCATCAACCCGTTCTTTGTTATGTATGTGATGATAGTGTGATATGACATTGAGTGTAAGATAATGCAATCTTAGTCAGTTTGTTTGTCTGGGTTCCTCTCTGTAAACAAAAATAATTAGCATTATATATTGCTGTTGCTTTTTTTTTTTTTTTTTTTTTTTATAATTAAGTTACCTTAGAAGCATTAGCTAAGTACTCCTTAATGCCTGTTGGGTTAAAATTGTAGATGATATTGTAGCACGGGATACATAGAGGCTGCTTATATTGTTATCCTGTCTAGCAGTGTTTGGCTAAACACCTCTCGAAGAAGAGTGTAAGAGTTCTGCTGTCACATTTTTGAGTTTTCTCTTTTCATGAAGCCGTTTTCTGGCTTATTGTAAGTAGATATTAAATACATTGTTGAAGGAAAATATTTGTTACTTTTTCCGAAATAACCTAGATGTTTTGGGCATAAGCATATAAAATCCACTCTCCAACACTTCCATCAGTAATTTAATTACTTTTTAACTTTTGCAGCTTTTGTAAAAAGAAATGTTAAGTGCCAATTATTTAAAAAGATTTTTTTTTGCAGTTAGATTGACGTACACTTGTACTTTAATCACAAAGGTAATTAGATTTTTCATTTCCAAGTGTCGTTTAGAGAGAGTGAGTTTTCAGCTTTGCTTTGAAAGTAAAGTAGCAAGTGTTCCCTTTATATATCCTAGAAAATTGAGTTTTAGATAATCAGTAAAATAATAAGGTCTTGAATCATTCTGTCATGGATATTAGGAGACATTTAGGAGATAAAACAAATAATTTTAGCACTTTAGTTTTAAATGCAGTTCTGTGGCTTTAGATGTGCCTGAATCTGTGAATTGCTTACTCCAGGTCAGAGGTGGAGTGCCAAATATCTTTACGATAAAGACTGGCTAAACAATGGACACATGTGTGGCTTATCATTTTTGAAAGAAAACTACTCTCATCTTAATGCCAAAAAGATTGTGTCAACACATCACCTACTGGCAGATGTATATGGTGTAACAGAAATATTGCATGGACTGCAGTTGAAGATTGGGATATTAAAGTAAGTATCAGTCCAGATTTATCAGGATTTATTGTCATCTTTTAAAATATATTTTTTAAATATATCCAAGCTACCATTTCCATGCACGTTATTTTATCACGTTAAAGTTGTTCCTTATAAAATAGTTGAAATAGTTCCACTGCAACATGTACCTTCATCTTCTTCAGCAGAGTTGGTTTATAATTTGTAGTATGTTTTCCTTTTTTGCTGTTGCTTGATTTTTTTTTATTATTTTTTTTTATTTTTTTAATTGCTGACTTGGTGCTAATGGGGCAGTGTGAATTTATTCTGAATTGATAAGTGACCTAGCAGTGCTTTCTTATTTTTGATAATGGCACTTCTCTTAGCTGTTATCTATCAGAAGTGGATTTATAGTAGTACAGCGTTGTAGGAGGAACTTCTGTATAACATTTTTCTCATCTTTTTTGTAGAAATAAACATCACCCAGACCTTCATCTCTGGGCTTATTCAGGAAAGCGAAAAGAACAAGAACAAATAACTCTTGGGGTAGAGAAAAAGATGACTTTTCCACATACTGTTAATCCAACTGAAAGGACATATCACAGTCAAAACCATAAAGAACCACCTAGTTTACCCCAGAAAATGGAAGACACATATATCACGAGTGAGCACAGTTACCAAAAGCCACAGAGTTTTGGTCAAGATTGCAAAGCAGTCGCTGAACCTATGAGCTCAGATGATGAAGATACAAGTAGTTTTGAGGAAGACCAGGAATTTTGTTCAGAGAACAAAAACTGTTTACAGTATTCTTTTAAAGATGACGGCATGAATGAGCAGGTAAGTACCATCTTTCATCTGGGAAGTTTCTTAATTAGGCAAATACATTTAATCTGATAAAGGTCAAGTACATAAGTATTCAGAAATGTTTGTTAGAACTCAACATACTCTATCAGCACCAATCAGTGGAATCAAAGTAAGATTGCTGAAATTCTTTCAGCAAAGTAGACGTATTGGTGAAGTGCAAAATGAAGTATTGCCTGTGCTAAAACTGTTTATATTTGTTCTTTTCCAATGTTACAAAAAGAATAAAAAACAGAACTTAAGTGTTTTCTGAGAGCTGAGGAAAACAGAACAAGCTTTCTTTTTTCTCTCAGTTCTATTTTCTACTTGCACTTTTAACTAAGATTTGCATTAGTGTTTATTATCATACCATACTCTCCTTTCAACAGTGATATTACCTAGAAGTCCACAAATAATTATACCAATTTAAAAATTGTGTACAATTTCTTTTGAGTTCTTAATACTGCATATTTCTTCTAATTAAAATTTTCAGACTTTTAGTCAGGATTACATTTGGTAATGTAATATGTCTTTCTCAGCTTTGCATTACGTGTTTGAATCCATTGCGTTATGGAAAAGAGCTGATACTTTGTAGTCTGGTCTTAGTCAGAAATTCTCTTTAAGGAAAAAAAAACAACGCAAAACAACAACAAAAAGCAACAACAAAAAAAAAAACCTTTCTGTTTTCTACAATATGAACTGTGAGAATAAATCGCTCAACTCATCCACTTTTCGAAGTACAGTTTCTGATGTGGAGGAAATGAGTAAGATGCATCTTTTTTCTTCTAATTCTAGTTTTAAATGTGGCATGTAAGCTGTATGATCTGAATGGGAAAATTTTGGCTCATTCTAGTTAGAATTGACTGCTAAATTGCGTGTTTGTGTAGTAAATAGACATGCAGCAGTATCAGATAGGCTTTCTTTCCAACAGTAGGTTATATATTTACAATGACAATTTTCTTAGGATTAAGTGGAAAATGTGAGCAGTGAAAAAATGTTTCTGGTAGAGACTAAGTCATATACCTGAAGAGCTGGGTGCTCTCTCTGCCAAACTGGGAGGAGATCCTTTGGGACAGTATCAGAATACTCCTTTTGGGATGCCTTAGTTCATCTTCCTGTCAGCAGTTAGCCCTGGTAGTACAAGAAGGCTTACTGTGTAGTCTTAGATGTGTTGAAGAGCACTCTTGATTTCTCCATGAGCTACTTTGTTACTCAAGAGCATGCTGACGCTCAAGTGACGTTTTGTCATGAAGTGGCTTCAGTGTAAAGAGCTCTCTCCACTTCTCCTTGTCAAACTTCTGGTTTGGATTTTACGTTCTCCTTTCTAGCTTCCTGTCTTTTCCTAGTCATGGAATCTTAATGTCACAGAATGGCTTAAATTAGAATCTACAGATCTGTTGCAGATCTTCTTTTCTTTTACAAGTTATGATCAGATTATTTTATTCAGATCCCTTTTTGGACTGTACATTTACTTTTTCCTTCTGAAAGCGTGATCTTGCCCCACCTGACTCTCCTACTTATTTCTTCTTCAGAAGTTGTTGTGTATTCTACTTCCTACCACCTCTTTCAGCACTTCTTGATGGTCTGTGTTGGTCTGGCTTCTTGGTCTCGTAGCTTAGAAGAGGGCCTGTTTGGTTTTAAGTTATGTCTTATGAACTGACCAGTTCAGTGAAACAGAGGTCATATAAAGAAAGTATATGGTAGGAAAAAAGAAAAAAACAACTTTGTTACTTAATCTGTAATTGTCTCTATGTCAAGATTTTTTTCTTGTTGCCACAGGCATCTGAAAAATACAACAGAGGATCTAGATGTCAGGATTGTGTAAATGAAGCCTCATCCAGCAAGGAAAAAACAGCATTCTTCTGTTGTAGGTGTACAGAAAAGTCTGAAAAGTATCAGAAATGGGGCATTTAATCTATATATAGAATATTTCCAGTGTAATTATGAGAGATATAGTGAAAGCATTCTGAGGTATCTGAGAGATGGAAGATACTATCTAGTTTGAGAGTTTAGAAGCATTTATGACGTTCAAAAATGTTCTTTGGTAAACTTTGTGAATATTGTGAATATTAACAGCTTGTCCTCTAGGTCTTGCTTACAAAGCTGCCAGCAGGATGGTCTAAGTTGGACTGATTTTTTTTTTTTTTTAAAGTAAGACTTAGATGAAATAGTTAATTTTGGCTTATGAAGTGACTGAAGATCTGTCACTATTTCCTGATTTTCATACTGTTTATGACTGGGAGAAGACATGCGAAGTCTGTGCTGATGTGACATGGAAAGAACTTTGGCACTTCTTTTTTGTACAAGTGTATTAAAATGATTAAATTCACTACTTGCTGTCACGTGAAAGCCATTCCTTGCCTTGAACTGATTCTTTGTGAGCACGTATCTTGAGTTTTCCTTGAATTAAGTCCCTAAAACAGAATTGTTAATAGTGAAAGAACTTCCATCAGAAATGAAGTCATAATGAGCATGAAATTGAAACTTCAAATCCTTCGAAGTAGCGGAGATTCTGAACACTTTGATTAATGTGTTTTTTTCAATCTGGTGTACTTTCTTTGGTCACAGCCAGTGACTGAAACATCAGATAGATAAGATGAGAAATTTGTTTGCTGTCATCTTAGAAATAATTAGTTTCTTCAAAGCAAGCTAATCTTCCACGTACAGCACATTTGCATAACATGGCTGCACAGCTCCCCATGTTGCCATCCCTGTACCTGTCCCTGCTCACGTTTAATTCTGGCTAAAACTTGTGGTGGCAAGTTACAGAGAATCACAGGGTAGGCAGCAAAGACTTCTGTTTGAAACAACAGATGAATGGCCAATTTTGCAAAATAATGACTTCCGACATCTTGGATGTTGTTGTATTTTGTGCAGTTTTCATTTATTCTTTGCCTATACTTGGAGGAATCCTTTGGGTTTTGTGTATTTCTGTCGATGTTACACTGATGCAGTTCAGCACTTCATGAATTGAGTCATGATTTTTATAAACAGAGCACAGAAATACAATGTGTCTACTGCATTAAACAAAACTTGACCTGCCCTCACTCCTACTTGTTCTCCCATTTAAAAAAAAATGCTCATTTCTATGGAATTTGCATTTTGCTTGTTTTAGTCTGCTGAAGTGTTATGATACATGGTGGCCGAGTATGCTTTTTGTCAAGGAGGCAGAAGTACAGTTCTAAAACAGTGTAGTGTATCATGACATTCAAGGGTCAAAATGAACACTAGCAATTAAATAGATGCTCTTAAATGGCGTTTTTTTCTTTCTGTTGCCCCTATGAAGAAGAATTCTGCTGAAGGAAACACTGTGTTTGTTTGTAATGAAAGAAAAGGCTCAGAGGAACAAGTGGATACACATCTTCAATGGCAGCTAAATCTCCTTACCCATATAGAGAATGTACAGAATGAAGTCACCAGCAGGATGGACCTGATTGAAAAGGAAGTTGATGGTAACTGCATTTACAGATGCTTATTAATGTACCTAAAATAGCTTATATCATAGCCACTTGTTAAAGGCAATATCAGACTGAGGATTTTTTTTTAAGTATTGTTTTCAAAACTGGATACTCAAAATTATATTCTGAGCTTGCACTTCTGGTTTCACCCTCTTCCACAAGGTTTTACTGTTTATTAAAGTAACTTAAATTGGTCAGGACGCTTGAGCTCAGGTCTGTAGTATCAGATAGATTTTTAGAAATTTTAGATGATTTGTCTGGTCTTTGTCCAGATGTGGATTATAAAGTTGACAGCCTTTTTCTGCAGCTGGCTTGATTGTTCTGTTGATTGACAGTATTTAGGAAAAGTTTGTTCATTCTGCTGTCATTTTCAATTTGCTATATTAGTGTGTAAATGGATTCAGGAAAACAAACCAGGCTTCCTGGGAAGACATGCATGAGATTGTACTGCAGAAGTAAACATTGCAGCACATGAATTTACTCACTAGTTGTAGAAAGTTAGGAATGAGGGGAACTTGAGTGCAGTGTTTTCATGAGAGTCCTTCATAATTATTTGACAAATGGTCATTTGATTCTTATTTGTGGTCTTATTACTGCTTCATATGAGGCATTATTTCTAGAAGTACAAGGTTTGTCTATTTCCTTCTTTTATCTCTACAAGCATAGAAGTTAATTTAAAAACACTGAAGATTGGAAAACTGTTCCGTAGTCTGATTCTTATAACTAGGAGCTTAATTAAGTGACAGGAGTGAACCTAGAATTTCACTGATCATGACATTCCCAGACTGCTTCTTCCGTTGCAGATCTGTCATAGGTAGAAGGCTCTGGGCTGAAGTTTCTTTTTTATGTATAGGACAATAAATTATTAGCCAAGGCTGTACTTTGCTCTCAGGTATCTATAGTAACAATCAAATCAGAAGATATGCTTGAATTGTTGAAAAATCACAGCCTCAATATTTTTTCCCTTCTCATTAAGGATAAAATATTAAAGAAAGGTTTAATTGTTCTGAAAGTTGTTTCTCAGAGACTCATTCTGATTAATTTCTTCTTCATTTTCCTTTGTAGTTTTAGAAAGCTGGCTTGATTTCACTGGAGAACTGGAGCCACCAGATCCTTTAGCAAGATTGCCTCAGCTGAAGCGACGTATTAAACAGCTTTTACTTGACATGGGGAAAGTACAGCAAATAGCAACACTTTGCTCTGTATGACAAAAGGAAGAATAAAGAAATAAAAATAGGTTCTCTACGGTGAATTTTATTACTAGCCACAAGACTGATAGGAAGACAGCAAAAAGCTGAGCATTTATATTGTTCTTTGATTATTACATTAATAGCCTAAACTTTTAGGGAGTGGAGAGGAAACCTAGAGTAAGCAATCTGTTATACTGAAAATCTACATTTTCACATCCAAACCTCAAAATATGATGTATTACATACTGAGAAATGTTAGTATCTCAGTATGATAAACGAGGAAACTTCTGCATACAGGAAAGCTGAACAAAATCTGCAAAGAATGGTTCTGCTATTTTGAAACATGTAGTGGAAAATTCTAAATCCGTGGAATTCAGCTGACTAAAACTTTTTGAACTGCATTTTTACAAAATTCTTATCAGTAAAAGACACAAAGAGATCTGCATCCTCTCTACAAGAAAAGTTTTTAGATTATTTTCTTTTCTCGTGAATATTCAGGAAAGTGAGCATATTAGCTTTGATTTTGAAAAAAGCTACTTGTCACGGTCTCCTTTTCAAAGTATTTTTTTAAATAGAAAATTTTATTACAGCACCCTTGGGCTCCTTTAAAACGTAAGTGGCAAACAATGGTCACATGTGCCAAATAATGTTACAACCACTGGATTGAGATTTTCATTATGGCTTACATGAAGGTTTTTTCCGTATTCCTACTTGGTGCCAGCAATCCATCCAGAATTATATCTAGTTTATATTTTTTATGTTCTGTGGGGAGTATTCAGGATTCAAAGTACAATTTTTGTCCTGGGTAGTTCTGTTCTGGTGTTACTTCACCATCCTCAGCTGGGATGAGGAAATGACAAGAGCAGTGAAACTCTCTGTGGCTGTCAGTGTACTCAACCACTAGAATAAATATTGCAATATACATTATACAAGATTTATTTTTTTGGAAAAAAAAAAAAAAGACAAAAAAAAAAAAACAAAACAAACAAAACAAAACAAACAAAAAAAAAAAAACAAGAAAACTTCCAGCTTCAGTAAATGCAACATCATGAAACCAAAGGCAACCTAGCTGCTCTGTTAGCTTCTGCTGGTTTTTGAGCCCAGGACTTTCCCTGTGCTTATAAGTTGCCGCTGTACCCAGTGCTACGTACATACTTGTATGTGTATGTGTATACATACACAAATACATTTATACATAGTATATACATTTATATCTACACATCTATTTTTTTTCAATAGATTATAAGAACTGGTGGTTAACATAAAACGTTACCTTTTAACAAACAGTTTCTAAAATTGAAAATAATGTATGTACAGGTTTTGAAATTTGTAAAATATGACTGTTAGAAGGAGGCTATTTAACTGATGACAAAGATACTTGAACATTTTATGCCTCACATCTGTTTATCAGTTCTAGTTATCTGTATAAATGCATTTTAGAACCGATAGACAGTAAACTTGAATTTACCTTTTGATAAGAGTACAAGCCACTGTACATTCAAAAATTATTTAAATTTGCAAACACACTGTTCTATATGTAAGGTACTGTATGTAAAACTGTTTATTAAAACTATTCTGCGTACTCTACATTTTCAATTTTTTTTCCTGATCTACATACAACTGTTGTTATAATGTACAGACATCAGAAATTCTTGGAATGCCTTCTGAGGATTCATAAAATTGAAAAATGTGCCAAAGATGGTTTAACTGGGAAAGACACTGCAACCTGTGCACTGAACTTTTATGATAAAAGCATTATTGAGTAGTGTGGCTGCTTAAAAAAAAAAAGAACCCAAAAACCTTCCCTGATATTTCTTGTCTGTCTCTCTTGTTTGAATTTACCGCTTCTGATGTGCAAAACAAAGTGTAAGCCCATGTTACTGAGTGGTTGCTATTCAAAACTTGCCACATCAAGCTTGTAAGAGGTATTGAAGAGCTATGATAACATGGAAGGTGACTGTAGAATCACAATTAGCAACTTTGCAATACATCAGGAGGAGTTGTTGACATTTTAATAGCTGTTAATAAAGAAAGTATTCTGATGTGTAACATAGTCGGATTAGTTGAGTGACCTACTTGCTTTTGGTATGTGGGACTTTAATATATTATTCACTTGCTGCATATCCTTGAATGTGTTGCTGTGTGAACTATATAAGAGAAATGGAAATCCAGTTAACTTACTTTGAAGGAAAGTGGAGTGTACTTACAAACTTTTATACAGCATACACTGTAGTGATGTTATGCAGTGTGTGTGATACAATAAACTATAGATGCTATGGAAGGTGGAGGTGAACTAAGAAATTCCAGGTGAGAGAAATGAGATGACCTTTGTAGTGTAGAGGTGGAGAAATGGTATCTGAAAAGGAAGTCGTAAGGTCAGAGCTGAAGTTGCCTGTGCAGCTTTCACTTGTCTTCCCTGTATATGTGTATGCAGCAGCCTAAATTTACATGAATACTCGACTTTATTTCTGAGGATCCTGCCTGATTCAGGATGGACTCTGCTTACTGAAACAACAAATCTGATTAACATTTGTTTGTCTTCATTTCTTGTGTAGTCGGTCGTTATTAACAGATACATTCCTTGCAAGCATTCACGTCTTGTGAGAAAATATAAGTGCTTATGGGCTGTGATACATTGTGTATTGCTTGAGTGCTTCACAAACTCTTCTTGCTTCTCTTTCAAATTGCAGTGTTACTCTGTGACACCTGAACATTAGTTCTGGCCCAGGTTTCTCCATTACTGAAGTCAATGGGATGCTTTTGAAACATCCCATGCTGTTTTAAACACAAGTCGGGTGCCATAAAATGGCTGAATGTTATGCACAGAATGTAACCTACAGTTGATTGCTTTACTCAGTTGCCAGTCAAACCTGATGTGGTCTGGTTCATATAAACATGTCTTCTAATTGGTCTTATCAAGAGAATAATTTTTCTCTATGCGTTATTTTCCATCTGTCTTCCTGCTTCCTCACTAATTAATCCAAGTATCTATGCATAATCTATTTAAAGCATCAGTTACCTGGACATGAATTTCAGTTTCTTGTGATGATTGATGAAGGAGGCAGACTGCTCTGAGGAGAAAGTAATAGTTTGTGGTGTTGTGCTGATTGTTTGTGATATTTCTGTGCAGATAAGTAAAATACAATTTTTAAGTTTTGGTCCTTTTTAAGTAATCAAAAAAAGAGAAATACCCCATTACCTCTTGTGAGGTACGATACTAAATGGCAAATTTGTGGAGCCTTTAAATGCTGTACTCTTTGTCTGAAATCTGCCCACCTGTTTTCTGTCATGGAGGTTTTGGGAGTGATTCATTTCAAACCTTCCTTCCTGTGACAATATTGAAGGCATCCACGTCAGGATTTCTAAGTTGCAGTGATGGATGTCAGTGTTACAGTCATAAATGAAGCACAGACCTGGTGACATAGGTAGCCCTAGTACATGTTTTCTGATGATGTTGCAGTTATAAAGCGGAGATACTTCAAATCACATGGTGGGAGATGGAGGATAGTTCCTAAAACGTTTTTTCTGGGTAACTGTAGGGGAGCTAATTCCCCTGTTTTAGATATTCTGAACTTCAGTGCATATATATTTATTGAGATATTGAGTGATTAACAGCTGCAGAACCTTGTTATTTTTCTTAGGTGGTGAATTGCACTTTTCTAATAGATTCCTTTGCTGGCTTGCAAAGAACTGAAGCTGTTTTTTCCATGGGTGAAGTCTTCTTATAGAGTAGCTATCACCTGCTGATTCACTGAATATCTGTGTTTCTCCTTGCTCTTTAGATCCTTGTTTTTTTCCTAGTAGATAGAGATGCTGATGTGTGAAGGGGTGGGTGTAACTATGCCATCTATTTGCAAATTGATACCTGCTTTTGCCATGTCAGTTTAGAAGACTGGCATCTTGTGTTTTCTCTCTACTGCTTAATAATGTTGCAGTCTGTCAGCTTTAATTTCACAGTGCTTATTAAGATCAAAGTTTAATCACTCTCTAAATGTCTGTTGCTGTCTTTGTGTTTGATTGGTTGCTACTTTTTTTTCTCTTACACTGCGTCTGTATTGCTATAAGTGATCATTTTACAAAGTTTTTATTATGCTGTTATGTCCTTGGTGCTGGGTGTAGGGGCCTGTCTTTAGCCATTAGAATTATACACTATGTGTATATCTGTTATATATGAAAAATATGACAGAGCATGTGACGACTGAAAATACACTGCACAAAGAGCAGATTGAGCAGTTGGCAGCCGTTTTGCACCAACCTGAACAACTCAAAGGAAAAATTAGAAGCCACGTGGAGAAAATATGAACTGGCATGAAAAGTCTTTCAGGAGTGAATCTCCCTTTTTGTACACTGGGCTGTGTGTAAACTGTAGATGAGCCAGGGACTGAGTAACTACAGTTAGCTCAACTGCTGTTTACTTCAACCAGCAACTTCCTTTGCTGTGCAGCTGGCAAGAGCTGTCTTGTTCAGCTGCAGCTGTGGGCATCGGTGTATTGCTACCAAACGCTCAGAGAGGCAGCAGTACACTACTATAAAATCCTCTATGAGATACACAGAGTACCTTTTCTGTGTTTTTTATAATAGCTGTAATGTTGGACGCGTTCTGAAACGATAAAGATCTTTGAGATCATTATGTGCCTGGACTCCCATTCAGTGGACTTCAGTTTTAGTGAGTTAGTAAATGTTTGTATACATTTAAAAACAATAGGGAATTTTTAGTGGTGTGCTTAGCCTATAGTAAATAAACTACACAGGGTCGTGGATATTCTTATTTGTATGGATCTGAAAACCTTAGAGAATCTTCAGTTGAATCTTAGCCCATAGCCAAATTATGTAATCAGTAAATTATTCACAGTACTGAATGCTCTTTGAAAGGGTAGATAGATAATAGCAAGATGGGGAAATGGTTTTAAGTTGAAGGAGGGAAGATTTAGGTGGATGTCAGGGGGAAGTTCTTTACCAAGAGAGTGGTGAGGTGCTGGAACAGGCTGCCCAGAGAGGTTGTGGATGCCCCATCCCTGGAGGTGTTCAAGGCCAGGTTGGATGGGGCCCTGGGCAGCCTGGTCTGGTATTAAATGGGGAGGTTGGTGGCCCTGCCTGCGGTGTGTGGGTTGGGGCTTTGTGATCCTTGAGGTCTCTTCCAACCCTGGCCATTCTATGATTCTATTTTGATGATTCTCTTACCATCAAAGTAATTGCAACATTTTAATATTCCTGAGTTACTTCAGTGTCCGACAGTTTCAAGGTTTGAGTTTTGCAGTGCATTGTCTTGAAATACCTTGTCTTTTAACAACTTCAGAGAGACAGTGGCACTCTTGTTTCTCTGAATATTATTACAAAAGAATGTGTTGTACTGATTTCTTATATTTTTATATTGCCTATAAATGACTGTTCAGGACTTTACTGTTGTAAGAAACTAATACACAAACAGTATCGAGGAAGTTCCTGTCCTAGGTGTGTTGTGGACTGGGGCATAAGTGGTAAGCAGGAGGTGAACAAAATCAGGCAGAATCTGAGTGAGATACTAATACACACAAATTGTTGAGTTGTTCACATGGCAAAAAATGTTATAATCTTGAACATTTAAAAAACAAACCACTAGATGTATCATTAGTGAAGGCACCATCTCAAAGCAGTCTCTCAAACAGTACAAAGACAAATTCAGATCTTGGAGTAATATCTGAACTGCTGTTTTCTTGTTCTGAATCAGATTGAGGATCCAGAAGGTCAGTGCAAGCCTTTGTAGAAATATATTGACTGTAAAAGCTCTGTGCAAGTTGATCTTTCCCTTATGGTATCTTTCATTTCTGGATAACAAGAGTTCCCTCGATCAAAGTATGAAGATTTATCAGTTTTATCAGTCACTGCTGTAGATCTGTTCTCCATGAGTTTCCTTAATCCACTGCTCTCCATTTGAGAGAGCTCTTTTTTCATCTCCATAACGATCAGGAGACATAAAAAAAACGTATGTAGCTTTTTGTATGCAGGACTTGGATCTCTCCTTTAATTTGTTTTCTCTATTCATTGACTGTATTATCAGGGAGAAAAAAAAAAGAGAGAATTTTGTACTATCAGAAATTCAGCACCTTGTTAGTGACTAATGACTAGGGAAGCTTTTTGTTTTCTCATGGTTTAGATTTCATTTGCCAAATATTGAATCTTAGTGTACAAATCTGTCCATTACTTGGTTGTACTGGATGATCTTGGAGGCCTTTTTCAACCTTGATCGTTCTGTGATTCTAGCGGGGAAATGGAAATACAACATGACAGGAAAAAAAAATGAGAAGTCCTTTGCCTGCTTTTCTTACCTACAGTTTAGTGTTTGGGTACTTCCCCATCGTACTTTCAATTTAAAGAATGTGTAAAGTGACTCAAATGTCTGGTATCTGATGAAGCTGTGCTTCATTTTTCTTCTCATCTTCTGATTTTGCATCACTTTATGCATTTTTTGCCCCTTTTTGAGGGTGAAGAAATCATGTGAAGATGTTTGAAATAAGATCATTATACTTGGGAAGAAATGTACTTGTGCTTACAAATATAGGAGAAGTTGTTAAAGAATGGCATGATTTCTATATCGTGTTCTTGAAACATAGGAGAAGATGGGCCAATATTTTATGCCAGTTCAACACAGTCCATTATTTGAAAATAAATGAGATACACGATACGAGCATCATCTGACAAAGTTTTCAGTTCTTAAAATCGCTACTTCCAATGTACTGCCTCGTTCAGAAGTCTTCTTTAATCCCATTTCTGAATATAAGATTGGTTTCTTAGGCTTCAGTTTTGAGTGAAAGTAACTTTTATGTATGTACAGATGTGTGTATATTCATTTATTGGAAGCATTTACCCTTTGGCTTTTTAATATATAAATACAGCACTTGCAAAAGCCCTTTTTTGGGCTACAATCTTTCTATTAAGAAAGTGTGTACAAAACTGGAACACTGGATCTGTTTCTTAAGATTTTGTGATTGCAATAAAATGTTTCATCACATTGAAGTTTTTTCTTTCCCCTTAACAATTCTAGTCTAGAGTTGCTTTTTGCTAACGTCTACAACA